AAAATTTTACAGACTCATTTTAAAAATTATTTAAATGTCTTATCTCGCGGACATTTCGCATGTATTTATGGACACTTCAATGAAAAACTGCTTAAAGGTGAATTGTAATGAAGTTCTATGTGTTGACTTCCTTTTTCTTTCAGGGTACAGTGCGACTAGGCAACGCTACTCGTGATGCTGTAATGCGAATATACCTCGCATCAGGTTCCAATACCCCCCTAGTACGCTGCCCAAAGTGCCTCTGCATCAAACCCGACCGAGCGCACCATTGCAGGTAGACCTTTACTTTAGCTTTTATTCCGTCGGAAGTGTTGGTGTCGTACCATTTCGTCGTTGAGACCCTGGTCACTGAGTTAAGGTATTAAAGTGAAGCTTAACAGAAAGGATTGAACCATGATTTGGTGCAAGTAATGATGGTAGGTCGATTCTTGTTGCACACTACAATGATTGCCTCCAATCATCTCCTTCCAGTTGCTGTCGTCGTTGTGTTCGGAAAATGGACCACCACTGCCCCTGGGTGAACAACTGTGTTGGCGAGGGAAACCAAAAATTCTTTGTACTTTTTAATGTGAGTTCTCCATTTGCTCTGACTGTCGCGTAAAATCGAAGCATAAGAAATCCTCTTTGTTTGACCAAGTTAAAGTTTAACACTGTGATCGTTCATGCTTTATTCGTCATACATACCGACCATAATCGGGGTCTGCAAAGTTGTGATGCCATGAATGTTCAGCAACGCCCATTCACCCACATCCTTGTTTCAGATTTTCTGTTGGTGGTAGCAAATGCCCAATTGGAACTACATTATGGAGCCTATTTTTACCTAACTACCCGAATTCCTCCTAAGAGATGGTAAAATAGCGAGCTTTTTTTTGTTACTTCATTTCAGTTATACATATTTTTACAATCGCTCGCCGGGTTAGCGTTGATCATCTCATTTTTCTTCTCGTGCTTCTCTGAATTCGGAAGTAAGTTGCATTCTGCCTTAGTGTACTCGGTTTTCATTTATACTCATTCAAAACCAAAAGTTTAGCCCAGTGGCTCTTAAGGTAATGTCAGATTTTTTGCTGCTATTCTTTGCGGTCCTGGAATTATACATGTTCAACTCGTAT